CAAGGCACTAACCCCGTCTGCCTTATCATGCCTCAGTATTCCACCAAGTTATGCACAGTCAGCCAGTCAGTTGGCCTGCTCATTTCCCAAAACACCTGCGTGGCCCGGTGAAAAAATCCAGACAATACTCACCCGTGTCCTCTGCCTTGAGGCATGCCACTCTGCACGAAGCATGCCTGTCCTGATCTAGATACAAATGAGCATTCAAAAGTAGTCCTTCTAGACATTCCCTTCTACAATGATGCCATGAGACTCTGGATCCAGACACTGGCTTATTCTGCACTATCTGGCAGTAAAGTGGTGCATGGCAAGCTAGATGTTGCTAAAGTCCTTGGGAAGTGAACTGATTGTGTGGAGACACAAACAGAACCATCACAGTCCAAAGATAAGAGTGCAGCGGTTAGTGGCTTGCAGATCTGGCCAACACTTAATACTCAGATTAAAGGCAAGACAGACCTACAATGACACTTATCCTGGTATCAACAGAGTCTGAACCATGTACTTGCTCCTGAAGATGGTGGCAAAGCACATATGGGAATGTCCAAAGTGCTTTGATATCAGTGCTCAACTCAACTGTGCCTGGTAACCGAAACTAATCACCAGTGTCTTTCCCCTTTTAGCCTGTTCAATATTGTTTGTTCTCACCCTGGTGTCTGTATTACTGCTAAGATTTTTTAAAAAGATGAATAAATTATTTTTGCTCAAGAAGCAGCCACGTAGCATACAAGATAGAATTTTACTAGAATCCTAGAGTCTTAAAAGGGTCAGAATACTTAGCCTTCATTGTATACAGCCCCATCAACCACCCACCAGTATTGCATTATTACACACACAAATTGGAAATGAATTGTGATGAATTCTCTACAAGTTTCCCATAAACTAATGTTAAAGTATCATATTTATATTCTATGACTAGATGAAATATACAACATAAGTAGACATTCCAGTGTGTCTGGTCAAATCTAATTACATAAAATGTCACACGTGACATTATTTTAAAGCGCATACAGATATTCAGAATATAAACATGGACTCAAGGCTACAAGAATATTAGAAAAAAAAACCTCATAGAATTCCGGTGACTGAAACAGTAGAATAACACAAATTTATATATAAATTATCCAGAAACAATGAAACAAATAAATGTTTATCATTTGATATTTCAGAGAGAAACAAAACAATGTATATTAATGAGCTTCTGAAAACTGACACTGACTGTCACAATTTGTGCACACTGTGATTTAAAAAAAATGACAATATTTCCCTTGTGTTAATGCAAAATTAGAAATCTGCATCCTAACAAAGGGATAAAAACTGAGGGATAAAAGCAAGCAAGTCAAATCAAGCCATTCATTCCAGGGTGTCATGATTGAGAACAGACTCAGAGTTACAAACAGCTATGACCTTGTTAACTTTTAATCAACAAACAAGAATTATGGGATTTGCAACAAACACGACTTGTAAGAGACATAATATAAGACATGAGAATGTGTACTAATGCGTAGCATGGTCAGGAATGAGTGGGGGAGGGTGTGCTGGTGTGAAAAAATGTCAGGAATGAGTGGGGAGGGTGTGCTGAAGTGCACAAATGTTAGGAACAAATGAGGTGGATGTGCTAAATATTCAAGAAGTCTAAAATGTAAAACGATTTTTAAAAAATTTTTAAAGATAAATACATAAACCCTGAACTTTCACAAATACTGGCATTCTGGAGTGTTTGAAGTGAAATGTTGATATTTTGTACTGTGTCTATCATGGCCCAGATAGTTTTGTGTCAGAAAGAGAGGATTCTGGTTGGGAAAAGGTAGAGTCAGAGGGAAAGTCATCACTGAGCAGAAGATAATTCCTGTGTACAATCTCAATGAAACTGGAGACAGCAGCAATAGCTGGGTTTGAGATGGCTAGCATGTACTTGACTAACCACAGCAATCAAAGTGTCTGATTTTCAGTTGATTTTGCGTGAAGCTCAGAATGGACAGATGAAGCATCACTGGTGTAAAGCAAAGATACTGCCTCTGAAGATGACTCCAGAAATGTAACAAGCCTTCTGTTTGTGCACTTTATGTGTTGTCTTTTGTATGATTCAATAGTCAGAGGTTGTTTTGATTTCTACTACTGACATGTCTAATTCTGTCTCTTGTAGTGAAGCCAGCAACTTTATGCATGCATTTTATTTAACTGTAGTGATCAACACAATGCCCATGCTCAGCAGTGACTGCAGAAATATCAGATATGTCTATGGGTGCTCTGATCTATCTATAGTTAAGTCCTTTATCTTGCAGTGATGGTGTCTGCCCTTATCATTCAGTGATGGTGTCTGCCCTTATCATTCAGTGATGGTGTCTGCCCTTATCATTCAGTGATGGTGTCTGCCCTTATCATACAGTGATGGTGTCTGCCCTTATCATTCAGTGATGGTGTCTGCCCTTATCTTGCAGTGATAGTGTCTGCCCTTATCTTGCAGTGATGGTGTCTGCCCTTATCATGCAGTGATGGTGTCTACCCTTATCATGCAGTGATGGTGTCTGCCCTTATCATTCAGTGATGGTGTCTGCCCTTATCATGCAGTGATGGTGTCTGCCCTTATCATGCAGTGATGGTGTCTGCCCTTATCATGCAGTGATGGTGTCTGCTGCCCTTATCATGCAGTGATGGTGTCTGCCCTTATCATTCAGTGATGGTGTCTGCTGCCCTTATCATGCAGTGATGGTGTCTGCCCTTATCATTCAGTGATGGTGTCTGCTGCCCTTATCATGCAGTGATGGTGTCTGCCCTTATCATACAGTGATAGTGTCTGCCCTTATCATGCAGTGATGGTGTCTGCCCTTATCATGCAGTGACAGTGCCTGCCCTTATCATGCAGTGATAGTGTCTGCCCTTATCATGCAGTGATAGTGTCTGCCCTTATCATGCAGTGATAGTGTCTGCTCTTATCATTCAGTGATAGTGTCTGCCCTTATCATACAGTGATAGTGTCTGCCCTTATCATACAGTATTACAGTGATGGTGTCTGCCCTTATCATGCAGTGATGGTGTCTGCTGCCCTTGTCATGCAGTGATGGTGTCTGCTGCCCTTATCATGCAGTGATGATGTCTGCCCTTATCATACAGTGATAGTGTCTGCCCTTATCATACAGTGATAGTGTCTGCCCTTATCATGCAGTGATGGTGTCTGCCCTTATCATGCAGTGATAGTGCCTGCCCTTATCATGCAGTGATAGTGTCTGCCCTTATCATGCAGTGATAGTGTCTGCCCTTATCATGCAGTGATAGTGTCTGCCCTTATCATTCAGTGATAGTGTCTGCCCTTATCATGCAGTGATAGTGTCTGCCCTTATCATACAGTGATAGTGTCTGCCCTTATCATACAGTGATAGTGTCTGCCCTTATCATACAGTGATGGTGTCTGCCCTTATCATACAGTGATGGTGTCTGCCCTTATCATGCAGTGATGGTGTCTGCTGCCCTTATCATGCAGTGATAGTGTCTGCCCTTATCATGCAGTGATGGTGTCTGCTGCCCTTATCATGCAGTGATGGTGTCTGCCCTTATCATGCAGTGATGGTGTCTGCCCTTATCATACAGTGATAGTGTCTGCCCAAAGTTTTCTGATTAACTACCACTGGAGCGGTTTGTGTGCTGATTCTTCCACTCAATCTTCAGTTCAACTTTTTCCGTCCAATTTTCTGTCCACTCCTTTTAACCTTCAGTTCAATTTCTTCCTTACAATCAATCTTCTGTCCAGGTCATTGCATTTTAACTCATGCACGCTGCACGTTTTACTTGTAACAAATTCATCCTAATTCCACTGTAACCAACTTTGTTGTAGGGTATGTGTGTTTTTCATGTTTTTGCTATTGTAAAATATGCCTGGCGTGGGTCTTGTAAATCTAATATTGTTTAATTATATTCTACATTTGATAGCAACTTAACTTGTTCTATATGTATTTACTACATGCAACCATCTAAATATCTACAAACTTTCAGATAATCTTCTACGAACATGTCACAGATATTAAAACCAAAATAATATTACTAGAAGAAAAACACAGCACACCCAGCATAACGCAGTCACAGACATACCATGCAACAAATTATTCTGGCATGCAGCAAGGACATTTACGTCACCTTATAATTAACGGTGCTAATGTTTATGTCTGTTTCTATAGTAAACATTTAATTTTAATTTAAATATCTTTTCGTAACTGAAGATGCATTTATTTAAATGGAAATTACAATAGTAACTAATAATAGCCTCATTATGTGTGAGAACTTTGATTTTTGTAAATGTAAACTTCGAAAAAAGGTAATTACATCAGATAACCCCCCCCCCCCCCCCCCCCCCCCCCCCCCCCCCACAGTGTTTTTATCATTCTATCAACATTATGTTAACAAAACTATAAATATGAGAAATTTGCACAGCAGTTTAAATTGTATCTGAACAAAACAAAATTATTTAACACCGGTGTGAAACAGCAAGAAGTTGTATGTCTTCTCTGCTGTACAACTAGAGGTGATTTTCAGTGTTCAGATATAACATTTTGGCTGTCACAAAGGCTCATCACAACTGGTTAGAATTGTCTTTCTCACTTTAAAAAAAAAACATTTTTTGAAAGGGACTGACATGTCCTATTATAATAAACTACTTCTCATCCTAACTGTAGAAATGACTCCATGTGTGACCCCATTCACAAAGGCTGTATTAACTATAAGAACATCCAAAAAAGTAACACAGACTAAATGTTACACAAAAGAAAGCAACACAGACTAAATGTTACTACTAAGAAAGTAACATAGACTAAACGTAAATGTTACACCCTAGAAAGTAACATAGAGTAAATGTAAAAGTTACACCCGAGAAAGTAACATAGAGTAACTGTAAAAGTTACACCCGAGAAAGTGAAAAAAAAAAAAGCGGAATGTTGTGCCTTGCTGCATGCCACTAATATTCCAACAGAGAAAAAAGAAAAGCCGCCAAGAACCCGCAGCCAAGTGGTTACCAAATTCACCTCCTCGTTGGTATGCTGCTGATAGCTGGTGGGTCGTCGCTGGATCAGCGGGTCCAAGCAAATCAGGAACAGCATGTAGAAGAACAGCAGCGACACCACACAGATGATGAAGATGACCACAACCTGCACAGGCATAAGAAAATTCACTCAATCACACACTGTCTTTCTTTTCTGTCCAACTCCTCTCTCTTGACTGTTTTGCATTATATGTTCAGTTGTTTTATTTCTTTGACACCCCTATTCTCAACCAAATTTGCTTACTATACATAGCTTGTCATGTATTCTCTATGTGAAGGCAACATTTCTTTATCGTGCTTCTGCCAAAATTACCTTCTACTCTAGAACCACATTTCGTTGTCATCATGTCTATCTGTTAATCTTCCTTGGTCATTTCTATCTGTTAATCCTCTTTTGTCATGTCTATCTGTTAATCTTCCTTTGTAAAGTCTACAGCATAGAATCATCTTTCTTCATAACGATTACACTGAAGAACCATCTTCCTTTCTCATGTCTAATCTTGGACAACCTTTCTTTGCCACAGCTCTTCTGCTGCCTTGAGGTCTCGATGGCAAAATGTCTCATTCTCTGCAGGTTGTGAGTTTATTCTGGACTGTTGTTTAGTGGTGTTGATAAAAACACACAGTCCCATACATTAGGAAATAATACTGAAACCTTCACTTGTCAGCCGAGAACATGTACTGCTCATTATGGGACATCTAAACCCAGGATTAACTTGATAGGAGACAGCCTATGAGACGATTGAGCCTCAGACACAAATGACAGATGCATGGATATCAGGAAGGCTGAATCTCAGACAGAAACGACATAAAGTAAGTGTCATGAGGACTTAACACCTCAGACACAAATGACAGATGTATGGATATCAGGAAGGCTGAATCTCAGACAGAAACACATAAAGTAAGTGTCATGAGGACTTAACACTTCAGACACAAATGACAGATGTATGGATATCAGGAAGGCTGAATCTCAGACAGAAACGATACAAAGTAAGTGTCATCACGACTAAACATCTCAGACACAAATGGAAGAAGGAGGTGTTATGCTGTGAGCAGCTGTGGTCTGGTTTCTTTGCGCCAAATGTGTTGGCTGAGATGTGTCATGCGTGCCAAATATGTTGGCTGAGAAGATACAGACATTGTCTACGTAGATACAGACATTGTCTGCGTAGATACAGACATTGTCTGCGTAGATACAGACATTGTCTGCGTAGATACAGACATTGTCTGCGTAGATACAGACATTGTCTGCGTAGATACAGACATTGTCTGCATAGATACAGACATTGTCTGCGTAGATACAGATATTGTCTGCGTAGATACAGACATTGTCTGCGTAGATACAGACATTGTCTGGTTTGCCGATTCTAGAGCATGCAAAATAAAATTGTCCATTTGAGAAGAATTACATGTCTAGATCTACACTGCACAAATTTAAAGATCTTCTTTTGTCAAAATCTGCTTGTGCCGCTAGGCGTCGCAGTCTATCAGATGATCGGCAACCGAGCCAGGGCGCGCTCAGTCGCTTCATATGCCGTGATGTTATGAAGTCTCAAGTTGTCCGTGACTCCTTCAATCCATCTTCTTCTTGGTCTTCCCCTGCCTCCTGGTGTCTCGATTTTCATGTTGTATGCTCTTGATCCTGGCATCGTTGGTTTCATTCTCACTAGGTGACCAAACCATTTCATTCTTTGCTTCTCAATAAATTTAACGATGGGTATGGTTTCAATAGTTCTTGTAATCACATCATTTCTCACTCGATCTCTTCTGGTTTTATTCGCAGCCATTCTCAAACATCTCATTTCACAGGTGGTTAGTGTATATAGGCATCTAAAGATCAATCACATGGAATTATTAAACCAAAATGAAAATAACTTGAAATCTATGACAATTTAATATAACAATGCATAGGAAACACTGATATAGAATCGTTATATGTGAAATGGTCAAATCTAATGACGATTGGGGATCCATCAACTGGTCCACCCTTATGCCTTCATACCAGGGAGAAGCTTCTTATCACTGGCCCTCCTCAGTCATTCATAAATGTATGGTCATGTGATCACTACATAATGGCAGTGCGCATATTGTTAGTAATGGCTGCCAGTGTATCTTAATATGATGGAGTACAGTATATGTTCTAGTAAGCCTGGGTTTCTAATATGTTTATGATGCATATATAATAGTAGGTTTAAACAAATACGCATGTATTCGAATGCAACGTTGTGAGAAAATTTCAAAGCAATCAGTGAAGAACTTTAAGAGATTTGAAATTTTAAACAAACATTTTTATTTATGTAGACTTTGCTCGAGTAGAGATGAGACTGAAAAGACTAGCATGAAAAAACAAAAACAAAGTCAAATATAAAGACACACAGCTCAACTGACCTTGATTGTGGTTGTATTCCTGTTTTCTATGCTACACAAGCAGTGAGCACAATTCTGTTTAACCAGTGGCAGCACCACATGTTCACAGTCACTGGAACATCAAGATAACAGCAATACTCAGGAGTACTCACGTTATGTTTAGAGTGATGCCAATTTATCAGGGATAACATGAGTCAATAATGGCCATGTCTACAAACTGCCATGATTTCACAAGTTGCAAAAGGAAACAAGAATAATAAATGTGTAACCTTAAAAAAAAAATATGCCGTATGAAAGGGTTTCAAGAGGGGGTGAGCCGCCACAGTGTAGCAGCTAGACACTCGCCTGCAGGAACAGTTTGTGGGTTCGAGTCTGAAAAGAACTTAAATTTTTGTCCACAAAAATTACCTTCGCTTCCAGGTTGACTTGAAGGGGTAACAGGTAAAGACGGGAAGTAAAGGTAACTGGCGTGATATTGACAAAATTACCCATCTAGTGCTGACTGGGTTTAAAAAATATAGGTCTGGCCCCATATTTTCAATTCATCTGGATGCGTAGAAAAGAGTACTGCCCTTTTAAGAGAGGGACTAACTATTATCATAGAAAACTTGAGCAAGCATGAACCAAAGGGGTGGATGTCAGGGAGAAAATGTTGACGTCTGACAGTCTGGTGTAAAGGACAAGCCTTAAGTTCATGGTTTAGGATATCTTATAAGGAGCAGGTTCACCTGCACCATGTGGAATGGCACATGATGCCGATGGAGGACATTGTAAGGCAGATTAATTTTCATGCCAGGACATACAGGTGCAAAGGAAATGAGCAAGCTGATTGGATTGCTGGTAAGGCTTCTGTGGTGCGTGGATGAGCAATGCATTAAACTGATCTAATGAATGCTATACAAGATGTAATAGCTTTGTGAGAACCAAGCGATGATCACGAATCTGCAACCAAGATCAGACTTAAACAACAGCATGTTAAAAGGGGTTAGGCTAGACAAGAGCATTATGCAGGAAGCCAAAGAAGAATAAGAAACCAAAACAGAAGTGTTGATCAGCCATTACACCTTGTGGAATTTACTGAGGTGGGGATCCAAGCATGTATGGCCATTGTCTGATGTGCAATGAGAATTATCTGTTGACTAACTAAGTCACATCTAGATTGATAAAGAAAGCCAGGAAAAAAACACATGAATTTCTTCTTACCAAAACTCCCCTCCAGCATTACTAGTAAATACTGCCCGAATCTTGTTGCCACTGTCATCCCAGGTTTTCTTGCACACACATCGGCATCTTGCATCCTCAAAGCTTGCAGCCTAAAATAAGACTTTCATAATGTACTACAATATAGTAACAAAACTTGCAGCATGTGTTAGGAGAGCAAATGTTAATGTGCTGGTTTGGTCATTTTTGTTTAATCTTTTTCTTTCGTTCGCCTGAAATAAGTTGTCTATATCAGCAATTTTGTCTCTTGTATAAACTTCACTGTTGTCTTAGTTCATTCAGTGGTCCATAGACTTTACGTTCCACTGTTGTTCTTTCTGGCCTAAAGGTTTGCCTTAATGTGTCAAATTCGGTGCAGTCCTGGAGTACATGCTCTGCGGTCTGGGGCACATTTCCACAGGTGCACATTGCTGATACACCTATCTTGAATTTTGTGTACATGTGGTTATGTAATCAGCTGTGCCCTGTTCTGAGGCAGAGGATAATGACTTGTTCTGGTCTGTCCATTATAAAATAGTCATCTTGTGCTAGGGCTGGTGGTTTCCTGATCGATTTAATGATTCTTTGCTTTTGGTGGTATGTGACTGGTACATCCGGCTACACTTTTGTTGCACCTTTCCCTGCCAGTTGATCAGCTTTCTCATTTCCAGGCACTCCACAATGAGACAGTATCCACTGCATTACGACTCTTCGCTGAAGGCTGAGCTGTGTCAGCAGTGTTTGCAACTCTGGTACTTTCCTAGACTGGAGTGCTTCAAGTACTGATTTTGCACCTGTCAGCATTACCACATACTGTGAACCAAGATCAGTATTTAGCAGTTTCTCTGTTGCTGTCTTGATAGCCTGAGTTTTTGCATCATAGTTATGGCAGTACGTCCCGGTTGGTACGCTGGTACTGCGGACCCTAGTACCATCTGGGAATTCTATGTACACTCCAGCACCACCATTTCTAGCTGCACTTTGTGCAGACTTATCTGTATAAGTATTCTTCATCAATATAAGTGAGGGCGGCCATTCTGCGTTGTACACTATCTTGCTCTTTCTTGTCAAATATTCCTTACACATTTGTCTGGATTTGTACATTTTTATTTATGATTTGTGGAGCTAATTTTTAACGAAATAACAAAATAAATGCTTTAACAGGGTCTCAGCGATATGTTTACTTGCGGACCTGTTTCTGTGACTATGCCACACCGCCGACAGTATCCCCCGCGCAGAGAGATGGGGGGCTAAACTAGATGGCTGGGACTCACGAGCAGCAGCTACCGCATCGCCAGTAACTTTGGCTATCCTCCCGATAACGGGCACGAAAGATGGCGGCCGCAAAATATCCTGAATAGCCTCAGTCACGTGTCATGTGTTGTAAACATTCAAAAATTGAAGTCAAAACTAATAAGGAACGAAAAAAAATGTTATATCAAATCGACTACTTACAGATAATTGTATGCCTTTAAATCTGGAAATTATGGCACAGAAGTTGTAAATAGTGCCTGAAAATCTGCTGTTTGAAACTCAGCTAAGTATGATCGGAACAAGGCGCGGCTCGTACCACATTGGTAACGCAGCTTTCTTTTTAGTAGAATCCAGACCGGCTATCCTCCGAATAAAGGGCACAAAAAATAGCAGCTCAAACAGGGCCTCAGTCCCGTGTCAATTGCGCACTTCTGGTGACTGAATTTGCGATTTTCCGGCAACTACCGCCACCACTGAGAGTAGCCCCTACGCCGCTCACGCGGCGTGGATTGGGGCTAAACTAGATGGCTAGGACTCAAGAGCAAGAAGATGTGGAAGCTGCTGCTCGTGGGTCCTAGCCATCTAGTTTAGCCCCATCCGCCCCGCGCATAGCGTCGCGGGGAGACTCTAGGCGGCGAGTTTAACTCGGCGGTTTGTTTCGTTTCTCAAAATTGTCAACAGACACTAATCCTAGTTTTCCAGCGATGTGCTTGTGACCACAAGTGTGCAATTGACACGTGAATGAGGCTCGTCAGGATATTTTGCGGCCGCCAACTTTCGTGCCCGTTATTCGGAGGATAGCCGTAACTTCTTCCAATTTATTTGTTCACGAGTACCAGGCATCTAGTTTAGATCCCCATTCGTGCCGCGCGTAGTGGCGCGGGGGATACGCTCGGCGGCGAGTTTCATCGAAAGAACACTATCGCTAATCTGTGTCAGAGCGCGTGGTCTCCCCGCCATCTCCATATTATTGTCTGTAATGTTGCCTGTCTCAAAATTGTCCATGGTCGCTAGTATCATCTGCAGAAACGCTCAAAATTGTCAACGATTGCTATTATCGTCTGCAGTGTTGCGTATGGTGACATTGTCAATAATCATAGTTTTGCCGCAATATGCTCGTCAGAGGAAGTCCGCATTTTACTGAGGCTCGAAAAGGGATGTTTTGGATAGTAAATATTTAAAATACTGGCTCTACTGGCAAATCCGGACGAAGAATAAACAGCCGTGGACGACTTAGTCAGAGTTCTCTCCCTTTGCCGCACTCCAAACAGTGATCGGAAAACAAACGAAACAAACGACACACTTAGCTATCATCCTGCGTTTGCGTGTAGGGCTGCGTACGGTTGCGTGAGGCATCATCATATGGTTGCGAGCAGGGTTGCGGACGGTTGCGTGAGGCATTGTGAATGGTTGTGTAGTCATCATCATGCGGTTGTTGGTTGCATTAGAGTTAGGGGTAGGGTTAGGGTTAGGGGTAGGGTTAGGGGTAGGGTTAGGGTTAAGGGTTAGGGGTAGGGTTAGGGTTAGATGTGAAAATTTTGACGTTGGATTTCGAAATACTGGCCGACAATATGATGTTTGTGGGAGTGGCGCCACTGAAACTTGCCAAATATGACGCCAATAGCGTGCGGGTTTGCCCCAATCGTTGGCGAATTGTGCGTTTTTTACCAGCATCCAGAGGCCCTACGATTGTGTGTGTGTGTGTGTATGGGACTGTGCGCGATTATAGGGAACTCCGGCGTCAAATTGTCAAATCTGAGAAACCACCTACCGCTAACCCTAATCCTAATCCTACTCCTAACCCCTACCCCCAAACCACGCAAATTTATCGATCATTAAAGCATACAATTTGCAAACACCAACAAACAAAACACACCCAACCACAAAAAAAACAGCCAGGATTGTCCTGCAGCGTGAAAAAAAAAACCTGGGGGAAACAAACCAAGCATTGGCAGCCCTGATATAAACGTTACTGGTATCTTTGTTTCAGCTTTTCGATCACTTTTTGGAGTGCGGCCACGGGAGAGAACTCTGACTAAGTCGTCCAAGGCTGTTTATTCTTCGTCCGGATTTGCCAGTAGAGCCAAAATACTAAATAATTTAGGACCGGTGTTCGTAAGAGTGCCTAAATATGTTTAATGTATATTATATATTTCTTGTCTCTTGTGAAGGAGACGACGACGATCCGATTCTGCCAGATGTAGTTTGTGAGCTTAAGACAATACAATAATCCAATAATCATTTTCCTTTCGTTCCGTTTTAATTATGTTATTTTAACACCAGATTAAATCGGTATTTGCTCACCTCGCTATGAAAAATAACACAACACAAACATAACAGTACGATTTGTGCACGAAGCAGGATGGAGAAGGAAGCCGTCATGCTGAAAAGAAACCCGACACTTGACTATTATATAAAATATCCAGCGAAAGTTGTTTGGTCTGCTGGCCTCCAGGTTTCTCTTGTGGGCTTGGATTGTACAGGCTGGCCAGGGAGTTGACAAACTGAGCTGCCAATTACAGGCAAGGAGAGCCCAATTGTCGCCCCAATGTACCATTCAATATAGCCTCCCATTTGTCTGTCAGTCAGTCTGTTTGCTGTCTTTTTATTAAAGACTATCTATTTGAAACATTGTTTTCCCGTAATGAATTCAAATAATGCGGACACAAACAATAAAGTGCAACATTTATTGTCATTCATATTTCGTTGTATCTTGTCAGGTGCGTTACTACAGAGTTACATCAACATAAAATGAAGAACTGTTGGTAATTTCTTGTGTGTCTGTCTCTCTGGATGCTTGACTGTGTGCAAGTCAGTCTCGTCATCGTTATCATCATATGCCTTAACCAGATCACCTAGGGGTACATATATCTCCACAGATCTCAGTATCGAGATTGGATGTTTATTGCTCAGTGAATGCTCGAGGGGATACTACGGTGATTACCATTGACTTCCACAGCCATCCTGATGTTTATTACCTCTGCTTTTAACAGTATTTTTTAATGCAAGGAAGTAGAATAGTTCCCTGTTCTTTTCTGCCCACACACACATGCAACACTGCCCCTTTTATCCTGGCGGTTTCTCGATCCACGGTAAAGTGTTTTTCCCACAACTATATTCTCTATATCAGCGTTTTCCAAAGTGGGCGCTACCGCCTCCGGGGGTGCTAGGACGGTCTATGGGAGCGATTCTTGGACGCTCCAGAGGCCGATGGTAGCATGAGGTACAGACGGGAAGCCCTAAATGAAAAAAAAACAGTGGTAGATAGTGTGTGTGTGTGTGTGTGTGTGTGTGTGTGTGTGTGTGTGTGTGTGTGTGTGTGTGAGAGAGAGAGAGAGAGTTTTGGTAAACTCAGTGTGGTGCAGCAAACTAAATATCGCAATGGCTGCTAATTTCAAACAAAAATTTTATAACCAGTCAGACTCATCATTCTCAATAAAGAATGTGTTATTGGCCAATGCTTTTCAACCGGCAGCCTGCGGACCAGTTTCAGGCCTAATAAGCGGTCCGCAGATCATTGCCAGTTGTATTGTATTATTTATCTTTCTATCTGGGGCACTTCCACCTCCGAAGTTATTCGCCCACTGAGGAATTTCAGGGATGGTTACACAGTCCAGCATTCTGTGATAACAGAGACAATACTGCCGACTTATGTCACATTGAAGCTCAATCATAAAAGTCTTAGACTAAAACAAAGACAATTTATTGGAACGGTATAGTTTCTGTCGACCAGCCAAAAAAATAATATTCCTAATGTTAAAAAATAAACAAGCATCATAAATGAGCCTACTTTTTGTGAAGAGTTACACTAGACATGACGATCACCTTGACTCAGAGCAAGAAAATCCCTTCCAATCAAAGGCATGCAAAGACTCTTAATAATAAAACAAATAACTGGATAGAATTTACTGGGAAGCCAGCACAAGATCATGAATGCTAGTCTACACTTGAGCAGGTAAGACTTTTATGCAGTACGCTTCAATCTCATGGGTTGAGCTGCGAAAACGAACTCATAAAACCTATCCACAGGTTTAAAAACATTACGAATATTAAACGGAACAACGAGAAGCAACCACGTAGACAGCACACATTCGATACTTAGTTGAAAAGCTGAAGAGACTTCCATATATATATATATATATATATATATATATATATATATATATATATATATATATATATATATATATATATATATTTCCTAATCAGAGGACAGCGATGGACATTCTGAGTGGGTTTCGTCGACATGTCGATACAGGAACAGAGTAACTATGGGGTGACACGTCGACACAGGAACGGAGTAACTATGGGGGTGACACGTCGACACAGAATAGAGTAACTATGGGGTGACACGTAGACACAGGAACGGAGTAACTATGGGGTGACACGTAGACACAGGAACAGAGTAACTATGGGGTGACACGTCGATACAGGAACGGAGTAACTATGGGGGTGACACGACGACACAGGAACGGAGTAACTATGGGGTGACACACCGACACAGGAACGGAGTAACTATGGGGTGACACGTCGACACAGGAACGGAGTAACTATGGGGTGACACGTCGACACAGAATAGAGTAACTATGGGGTGACACGTAGACACAGGAACGGAGTAACTATGGGGTGACACGTAGACACAGGAACAGAGTAACTATGGGGTGACACGTAGACACAGGAACGGAGTAACTATGGGGTGACACGTAGACACAGGAACGGAGTAACTATAGGGGTGACACGTCGACACAGGAACGGAGTAACTATGGGGTGACACGTCGATACAGGAACGGAGTAACTATGGGGTGACAGGTCGATACAGGAACGGAGTAACTATGGGGTGACACGTCGATACAGGAACGGAGTAACTATGGGGTGACACGTAGACACAGGAACGGAGTAACTATGGGGTGACACGTAGACACAGGAACAGAGTAACTATGGGGGTGACACGTCGATACAGGAACGGAGTAACTATGGGGGTGACACGTCGACACAGGAACGGAGTAACTATGGGGTGACACGTCGATACAGGAACGGAGTAACTATGGGGTGACACGTAGACACAGGAACGGAGTAACTATGGGGTGACACGTAGACACAGGAACAGAATAACTATGGGGGTGACACGTCGATACAGGAACGGAGTAACTATGGGGGTGACACGTCGATACAGGAACGAAGTAACTATAAGGGTGACACGTCGACACAGAAACGGAGTAACTATGGGGGTGACACGTCGATACAGGAACAGAGTAACTATGGGGTGACACGTCGACACAGGAACGGAGTAACTATGGGGTGACACGTCGACACAGAATAGAGTAACTATGGGGTGACACGTAGACACAGGAACGGAGTAACTATGGGGTGACACGTAGACACAGGAACAGAGTAACTATGGGGTGACACGTAGACACAGGAACGGAGTAACTATGGGGTGACACGTAGACACAGGAACGGAGTAACTATAGGGGTGACACGTCGACACAGGAACGGAGTAACTATGGGGTGACACGTCGATACAGGAACGGAGTAACTATGGGGTGACAGGTCGATACAGGAACGGAGTAACTATGGGGTGACACGTCGATACAGGAACGGAGTAACTATGGGGTGACACGTAGACACAGGAACGGAGTAACTATGGGGTGACACGTAGACACAGGAACAGAGTAACTATGGGGGTGACACGTCGATACAGGAACGGAGTAACTATGGGGGTGACACGTCGACACAGGAACGGAGTAACTACGGGGTGACACGTCGATACAGGAACGGAGTAACTATGGGGTGACACGTAGACACAGGAACGGAGTAACTATGGGGTGACACGTAGACACAGGAACAGAGTAACTATGGGGGTGACACGTCGATACAGGAACGGAGTAACTATGGGGGTGACACGTCGATACAGGAACGAAGTAACTATAAGGGTGACACGTCGACACAGAAACGGAGTAACTATGGGGGTGACACGTCGATACAGGAACAGAGTAACTATGGGGTGACACATCGACACAGGAACGGAGTAACTATGGGGTGACACGTCGACACAGGAACGGAGTAACTATGGGGTGACACGTTGACACAGGAACGGAGTAACTATGGGGTGACACGTAGACACAGGAACGCAGTAACTATGGGGGTGACACGTCGACACAGGAACGGAGTAACTATCGGGTGACACGTAGACACAGGAACGCAGTAACTTTGGGGTGACACGTCGACACAGGAACGGAGTAACTATGGGGTGACACGACGACACAGGAACGGAGTAACTATGGGGTGACACACCGACACAGGAACGGAGTAACTATGGGGTGACACGTCGACACAGGAACGGAGTAACTATGGAGTGACACGTCGACACAGGAACGAAGTAACTATGGGGTGACATGTTTGCTATGAAGCTGGATCTGCGAGGATCGGACTACTTGATTTCCCTATCCCAGCTTGCGTGATGCTCAACAAGAAAACATAATCCCCTGTAGCAGTCACAAGGGCTGTTTTCTAGATCTCCACCTCTCTCTCTCTCTCTCTCTCTCTCTCTCTCTCTCTCTCTCTCTCTCTCTCTCTCTCTCTCTGTCTCGCTCTTTTATTTTTCTCTTTCGCTGTGTGTGTTTATGTCTTCTCTCCGTATCTCTCTAAATGCCACTAACTTACTGAATCACTTATTCACTCACACGCTCTTACTCATTGCCAGCCCCCCTCCCCACCACCACCATATATGTCTCTCTGTCTCACCACTCTCTCTCTCTCTCTCTCTCTCTCTCTCTCTCTCTCTCTATATATATATATATATATATATATATATATATATATATATATATATATATATATATGGATATAAAGTAATATAATTAATTTAGTTCTACATTACCTTTTTCTTTAACTGTATATGTCGCAAAATTGTCTAAAATGTTAACACTGCTCTATAAATGTTTCCATTATGAAAATGAAATGTTAGTTTTCTATCAGTCTTGTTACAGCTGTCAGACAAGAATTGGTGTGACATTCTTACTGTCAACATTTACTTTATTGTTTATGAGAAAACAGGTGAGTACTCTCTCTCTCTCTCTCTCTCTCTCTCTCTCTCTCTCTCACACACACACACACACACACATACACACATACACACACACACACACTGACACGTAAACACACACACACACACATATATGAATATGTGCAATGAAAGAAATTGGTTCAAGCTTGTTATAATGCTGGCTCTCTAGGCAACAA